CTTCCCCCCCCCCCCCCCCCCCACCCCACCCCACCCCCCCCCCCCACCGTTGAGAAATGTGTGTGTTTTGCGCACACACAGACAGTGGAAAGCAAAGCAAAATTAAAAGGTGACGCACTGTTTAATCATTCATGCTTGCTACATTTAGGTTTCTATATATACACACACACACAATACACACAGCTTTCCCAGAAAATATCTTTCTAACACGAGTTGGATTAACCCTATTTTTGATCCATTTTCAGCGCAAATGGGGATAAAAGAGTGACAGAAAATACTAAATAGCTATTATTTATTTATTTCATTAAAATATACATAATTATATTTGCATAATTAAATATTAAAATAAATAAAAATATTTAATTTTTATTTTCGCACTAATAATAGAAGTACCTATTATTACCGGGAGTAAAAGACAAAATTGGGAAAATGAAAGGATTAAAAAATGTATTTAATTTTTTATAGTCCTGACAAAATGGGCCAAACCAAAGCCCCAAGGGGAAGCCAACACGTGAAGAAAGGCGGGGTTTTGCTAAGCACGTGGCACGCATCACGTGACGAGTGATGTACTCTGGTCATGTTTTCAATGTTGAGTTTAGAGACAGTGCTTATAATTGAATTATTATTCATTTGTCCTAATTCTTTTAATTCTTCTTTTCTTATTTATAAAACATATTAAATGTATAAAATACTTGATTATTAGAATACATTTAGTAATTTATGAAAGTGTAGTTTCCAATGTTTGTTTTTTGGCTAATAAACTATCACACTCTAAGGTTTCCATACAGAGCAAACCTTGTGCGACAAATCCGACCTAAAAAATATTGCCAACAAATATAAGACTCCAATCAATCGATCCCTATCCTGAAGTTTTCCACACAATAAATAAATACAATTAAAAAATGATTAATTTTCAACAAGAATCATAACAAGGGAAACAAAAGAATCATTCTATAATATGATATGATTCGATATAGAGCACAACATAATCGAGAAATCAAGAACACCGGAGTATGAGCAAATACAATACATTCAACGATTATCCATGTGAAAAATCTGTAGTAATAAACAAATTTTTGCTTTAATTACTTGATTTAATGAATCATGTAATGATTTCATACCAGGTAAAGGCCATGAAAATGAAGAGCCATTAGTACAAGAAGAATTAAATAAAGATGGAGAAGATAAACCGAGATTGATAGATGCAAGGTTGACCTCACTCACTTTTCACCGAGGAACTGCAAAATCTACATGCATAAAGAGAACACACAAAAGTCGAAAATCAGTGGAAAAAACAAACCGTGTATAAGAAATATCAAATCAGTATGACAATCGTGTGATAAGTTACACTATACAAGAATCACAGATAACTGCAAATTAAATTAAACACAACGCAATTTCTTTTTTTATGAAATACAAGAGTCGATGATTCATCTGGTCCGCTTGGTTTTTTTTTATAAATAAAATTCCGATGAAAGAAACTAATATGGCAGATTCATGGCCAACACTGTAATGATAGTCAAATCATTCTCATTAATTATAAACGACTAAAATGAACTCGAATGATCTATTCTTTAGTCTTTGACCATCCGTGTAAGGTCAAACAACTAAACTATTTACACTTGTGTTCAAAGTGTTTCCGTTGCATTATTACGGCTGCAATTTGGAATTAAAACCAACTGAAGCAATCGCCGCTCAAGTTATTTCCATTGCATTTGATCATTAAGCATCGTTTTCAGAATCAACATATAAATACACGACTTTATTCACATTCGAGAAGATCACCAATCAGTGGTCTCAATCGCTTTACTACATCAACAACATCACCGAAGAATCAAATACGTTAAAATTTACCAAGACGAGATAGAGCATTACTTCGCCAAAAAAAAAAAAAAAAAATCAATTCGAGTCGAGAGATTCATTGAGGGACGAAAAAAAAAGGAAATGAAATAAGTAAAACCTTGAGAAAGCAAACTCCAGTAGCTGGTATCCATGGCGATATTCGACTTCAATCGAGCAGCTGCAATCGTACTATGGAGCGGCAGCATCGTCACAAGGCTTACCAACACTGAGGCAAACCTTCATAGCCAAATAACAATAAATTGGTACTGATCCAAAAATGTATTTTAATAATTAAATTATTTTAATCTTTTAACCAATTCTGGTATTGTAAAACTCCATATCCAACCAAAACTAAGTAAACCAAATTAAATCCAAAAAAAAAACAAAAAGGCAGTCAATACTACCAATAACATAGCTTAATTGAAGAATGAAAGAATTCTATAATGCTTACATAATTAATTATACAACACTACAAAGATGATGAATTTGTGAGCGGTACCTTGATGAACAAAGAGGGGATCGAGTGGTCGAAGAGGAGAAAGCGGATGCGATTGTGGGCTTTGGAATTAGGGTTTGGATGAGTGAGTTAGGCCGAGTGCAAACAGACTTTCTGCTGATGATCGCAGCGGATCTGCACACTGACGCCATTGGAGCTTCTATCCAGAGGTTTTACCGCGTTGTTTGCTACTGTGAGTACGGTAAGGAACGGCTCTGGCTTAAACCCTAGGGGCAGAATTGTCTTTTCCGAATGTTTATTTATTTCCGTTAGCATAGATATTTTTTTTATATATTTTAAGTACTTTTAAATAATAACAAAAATTATATTATATTAAATTTTACAATTTACTTATTTTGGTAAATATATGTTTGGGTTAGTTTTAGATTGGGATACAATTTTCATCCCTCAAGTTTACACTAATTTTACATTAGGTTCCTTATGTTCATAAAACACATATTTGGTCTCCAAGTTTTAATAATATAATATTTTTGGTCATTTTTGTTAATTTATTATTAGTTCGTCAATTAAGTAGGCGATGGACACACGCTTAAGTCCGTTAGTTTTAACGGAAAATTGACAGAAATGACTAAAAATGTTGCATTGCTTTTTGTGAACATGGGGGACCGAATATGAAATCGGTACAAACTTAATGGGTGAAAACTTTATTTTCCCCATTTTAGATTCCTTACTTTTGAAATAATTAAACTGAAATGTTAAATGTTGTTTCAATTTTACTAATGTCGTTTTGACTTTGAACCTGATTTTGACATATTTCTATTTTGATTTTAGCAAAATTCGAAACACGAAAACTGTAGTCATTTAGGTTAGCATTCTAATCCAGCTTAAATCCGCTAGATTGGATGTCGTGTGACAAAGTTATGCATGAATGAGTCACATTTTGAATTTTAGATACCTCAATACATCAAAGTTGTGGGCAGTATACATTGATTAATGTATATCTTTAATAAAAAAACAAAACGTATTAACTCTTTCGGCGCCCAGTTTTTGAAAAAAACCCCACTTCATCTCTTTCCCTCGCTCCCCCTCTGACACGCACTGTCGTCTTGAGTAACGGGATGAACATTCATTTTTTTAAGTAAGTCAGGTACGGCAGCAAGCACTCCTCTAAAAGTAAAGATGGTTGACGAAGCACGAATGGCGCTTGAATCCTTCTTCAAGGATGAAGCAGAGAAGGTACGGTGACAAAAGATGGTTGACGAATCACTAATGACGCTTGAATCCTTCTTCAATGATGAAACAGAGAATGTACGGTGACATTCGAGAGACCCTCCACAAACTGGCTTTTCAAGAGAAGGCATGAGAGAATAACTCTTCTCAGCCGTACAACTACTCACCCTCTTACAGTCATACCACAGGTTTGTTCTTATCTTTAGGGTGAAATGTTCTTTTAGTCCGTTTGAAAAATAGCAAATCAGACATTATACAACATTAGAGGAACTCCACATACGTACACAAAAAAAATGTACTTTAGCTAATACAAATGCTCTAAATTGTACTTTGGATGATTACAAATGAGGACCATACCCCTATTTATACTAGGCTACCTCCTTAATAGATGGTGGAGATCTATTTGATCTAATGGATACAAGTGGTTCACTAGAACACTCAAAAGAATTCCTATAAAATATCTACAATGGGAAGGTTCTAGAAAGCTTTCTAGAATTCTCCAAGATTCTCTACCTATCTCTATACATTTGAGCCAACTTGGGCCTAACTCTATTTGGGGACAATAAAAATTTACAAATTTCAATATTATATTATAAATCACCTCAGAACCGATAAAATACAAATCGAAAAATACACAAATATATGCATATGCAACTACATGTTACTATATGTAACTAGTAATGTATATTAATGTACAGTAATGTATACAGTCTGTTGAACAAAGCAGATGTAACTTCAACAAAAAATTTTGACACCTTCAAGGAAAAGATCAGTGGCCTTCGTTAAGCTGCAATTGCAAAATCAAAACAAAAAAATTATTTTAGTTTAAATCAACAAAAATTAAAAAGCATCCTCAAAAAACAACAAACACTAAGAGATCGAGAGAAATAAATCTGAAAATATAAAAATAAAATAAAATATAAAAAATATAGAAATAAATCTGAAAATATAAAAATGAATGAAATTGACATCAAAATATAGATCCCAACAAGAGGAATCCAACGGTGGGTAGCCCGTCAAATTCCGACTGGCCAAAAACAAGTTACACATCTGGTAAGACCACCGTCGTCGAAATATGCCGCTAAAAAAAATTGCAGAAACAGATCCAGTACTCCGAACTGAATGAAAACTCACCAGAAGAAAGAGCTCGACGAGAGGAATCCAACGATAGTTGAACCATTGAATTCCGACCACTAGAGAGAGTTATGCCTCCGGGAAGTAATATCGCCGGTTAGAGACCTTAAGGGGGTGGGATTTGGATGTGGAAATTGAGAGAGGAAGATAAAGACCGATATAGGTTGGCTAGGGTTTAAAACTGATTTAAAATGGTATTTTGGGTACTTCAAGGTGAGCTAAGGGTATGTCAAATTATTATCCAAATTGAGGGGGTTTACACTAGGGTTGAGCTAAGGTTTTTGAGTTAATTTTGTTTAAGAACTGGCAAGTATTTTGAACTAGGATTTTGCTTAATCAATATTTTTGAAGTAATCTCTGTTGTTTAAGAAACCTAGTTGTTTTGAGAAGCATTACTTGAGTTTAAATATCAGTTATTTTTTGCTAGCTTTCCATTATTTTTGTCGTTTGATTGCTGCAAATAAATATTTTTTCGGCTTATGATTGTAATGCTTGGATTTTAATTATCTTTGTTGATTGTAATGCTTGGATTTTGTGACGAATGCATAATATATATTTTTTTTAATTGTGTGGCCGGGTTCATATTATATAGAAATTGAGATATTTTTTCAGCAATATTTTTTCTCCCAATAGTTAGTTTTTCCAACTGCTATATTTTTCCACTGAGTGCAACTGTCACTTTGGAGGGAAGAGTAGGCATTTCTTTTTATTGCTTCAAATTAGGCGGTGAAATGTTGGTTGGAAGGACCAAATTGAAGCTAAGTAAAAATGAATTTTACTCATGGTTGGGGTCAAATGGTTCTGGGCCAATTGAGGGTGCCTTGTCAATCTTAATTGATGTAAGGAAAGTTGTTAGCATATGATTCAATTTTGACCGTGGAATCAAATACCTATTTCCATATAATTATAAATTGAGATACGATTAGGGACTTAAATGCAAATTGATCTATAAAAAAAACACTCTTTTAAATAAACTTATCTAGTATCTTTAGTCCAAAATACCTTTTATAATATAGTTTTTATCAATTTCATCTATTATACTCTAACTTTCTTAATAATAGATATTGACCCCGGATTTAAACAAATATATCACATTAACCCCCATTTTAATAATTATTTGAAAAAATATTTTTTTTTCAGAATTTTTTTTCGGCCAGATTTAGGCGTTGACTTTTTTTTTCTTAGATTTTTTTTATTAATATTACTGTCTCAGACAGTAATATTACTGTTTGAGATAGTAATATTATTTTCCCAAAAAGTAATATTATTGTCCTAAACAATAATATTATTGCATAAGACAATAATATTACGGTCGTAGACAGTCATATTATAGTCGAAGACAGCAAAATTGCAGGCCAAGACGATAAAATGAATTAATACGGTAAAATTACTGTCTCAGACAATTAAATTACTGTTGGTGACAGTAATTCAGCATCCAAGACGGTAGTATTAATTAAAATAATTTTTCAAAAGAAAAAATAAAATTTCAAAAAAAAAGTTAATTAACAGTTAAATTATTGTCTCCGACAGTTAAATTACTGTTGGAGATAGTAATTTAGCAGCAAAGACAGTAATATTAATTAAAATAATTTATAAAAAAAAGTTAATTAATAGTTAAATTACTGTCTCCGACAGTTAAATAACTGCATGAGACAGTAATTTAGCAGGCAAGACAGTAATATTAATTAAAATAATTTTTTTTTAAGAAAAAAAAACCAATTAATAGTTAAATTACTGTCTCAAACAGTTAAATAACTGCTGGAGAGCAGTCAAGACAGTAATATTAATTAAAATATTTTTTTTAAGAAAAAAAAAAATCAATCAACAGTTAAATTACTGTCTCCGATAGTTAAATAACTGTTGGAGACAGTAATTTAGCAGTCAAGACAGTAATATTAATTATTTTTTTTAAGATAAAACAAAATTAAAAAAAAATATCAAACACCGGAGACCGGCGGCTGAATAACAGTCTCCAGTGATGGCGGGTCAAAATTGGTTAATTGGTGAAATTGGGCTAAATTATGGTGTAAATCATAAAATTGAAGTTGAATTGGGTTTCAAGGCTATTTCGACCCTACACCCGGTGATAATCACCGGGTGGGTCTGTTGTTGACGCGCGTTCTTTTACTCAATTTTTAATTAATTTTGTTTTGCCTTTTTCATCTTTACTTTTTAATATAATATTTGTTAAACCATGGTTAAAAATTGACCTTTCTCTCTCTTCTCCTATTATTCAATTCCGATCCATGGTAAAAAATTGGTCCTTCTCTCTCTTCTGCTATTATTCAATTCCGACAACACAACGGAGCTCTCTTCTGCTAACATTCAATTCCGTCACAACAATATTTCTGCGAAATTATCTTTGCAGATCCGGCCGATGAAAGCAACGTCGGGGAAAGAGATGTAGTATACAGGGAACTTGATCCGGCCGATGAGAGCGGTACTCGCCGGTGTATAATATGGGTTTTTAATACGCCGACGTTGCCGAGCACGAACACGAAGGGTCTGGTGGCGGCTCAGGTAGTTAGATGAGTTGTTAATGGTGAAACAAAAAAATATATCTTAAACAGTGCCCATTTAGATCTTCTTGTTAAAAATGGTTTATAGGTTCAGTAAAAGGAAAACCTTGATGAAATTTTGTCATTTTGTTTAATATTAAGCTAACTTGAGTGAAATCGTAGACTAATAGTTAAGAGGAAGAGTATAAAGTTGAGCTTCTTTTTCACTGCTCTATTTTAATTTTGGCTAATTTTGATTTATTACTGAGATGTGTAATCTGAAAATTGTTGGATATTTTCCTGGCTGCAGTTGGTGTGCAAATTGCTGGGTTTGGTAGCTTGGTATCGCAGAAACGCGTTTAGACAATTTGATAACGGAGGCAGGCTACTGATTAGCAAGCAAGTGGAGAGCAAACCGGAGTTGTAAAAAGAACTTTGAGTGAAGGCAAACTCACTAGGAATTTTCTATAGAACAAAATTCACTATGGTGCCTTTCAGTAAACAATGAGAGAGCTTTGTTGACAGATGAAACTTTTGGTCATGCTGGCGGTAGGAGTTGATACTAGGCCGATTTTTTTTTTTTTTTTTTTTTTGGTTTCTTCTTTTACATGTAATTCAACTCTTTTACCTTTAGATTTTAATTTCATTTATAAACATTACAGAATATTTTGTTGAAGAACATATACAGAACGTGTAGAAGAGAAGTCGAAAAGACGTGGTTGTGGAAAAGAAAAATATCTTTATTACCTAAATTAGTGGGATTTTGTTAACCCTGGTTTAAGAAATAAAATATTTAGAAAAAAGAAAAAGAAAAACACTAATTAAATAAAAAATCAATAATACACGTGTCATCATGTAGGGAGGCTGGTGAATATAACCTGGTCTAGGTTCGCAAAAGCCGGGTTTCAATGAATTGGAGCTAATTTTGCTATATTTAAAAGAGTTTTCATTATGTGCAAATAAGTTTGAATGAGCTGGAAATATTTAAAAGACAAAAAAATTAGATGTGCATTTTTTAATAATTAAGTGGTCATGTCATGGGGCTCTCTACCATTAACACTATTATTTATTTATTAGGTAAGACTTTGAACCCGGTTAGATATGGGCCGGGTCTGATCAATGTGCAGCCATATTATCTGGTGTTCGTATAGACCTTGCTTATTATGAATTGGGCCTCCTACTTTTCACTCGAGCGCGTTACAGGTCTCTCTCTCTCTCTCTCTCTCTCTCTCTCTCTCTCTCTCTCTCTCTCTCTCACTCTCTTCCCCCAGCCCAACCCGCGCACACGGTGATACTGAACAATTCCATCTCTATATCATCTCAGCTGTATCTCTAAGGTTTTGTAGTACTGTGATTTTCTTTGGTTTGTTATACCTGTTTGATGAAATGCCTGAAAGAGTTATTTCAATGACAACGATTAAAGTTTCTTGTTATTTCAAATTAAATTTTCTTAGAAATATAACATTTTCTCGATTCATGTTGTCTTTACACAATTTATCTGATTTATCACATCAATTAGTTATTTATCTGCATTTCCCTGATTTATGTGCTTTTTTTTTGGTCAGTGTAGTTGATGTTTGAATTAGGGCTTAGAAATGATTATGCTGCTGTTAAACTTAATTTGTGAATTCAAGATCAATAATTAAAAGTTCAGTTCAGGTTCCTAATCATAGCATACCAAGTTTTCAACATCTTTTAAGATTTGAAGTTGTATAAAAATATATGTTTTTCGATCTCATCGTGCGTCTGATTTGTTTAAACGTCGAACATTTTTATTAATAAGCGGACTTAACTCGAGACCAATTGACTTGACTCGAATATCTGCTATGTGGTCAAATGATTTATATTCTTGATTTTCGACTGATGAAATTTTACATTTTCATCATTGTATATGATACTTTATATAACTTAGTTTCTCTTTTGTTGTATAGTAGCAAAAAATGATGAGCGGCATGGCATCTCTTTGTAAAAGACTAAGTATCAGGGATCTCGTTGCAAATTCACCTGTTTATACTTCTGCCACCGGTATCGAATTTTTGACTTTCTTATAATGTGAACAATGTTTCTCTTGTCATGAAAGTTTCAGTTGACTGATTTTATTACATATATACCCTAATCTTGAATCTATAGATGTATCTGGAGAAGGATTGAGCTTGATGTTCAGGCGATGGGCTACCAAAAAAACAGCGGGGTCCACAAAAAACGGCCGTGACTCACTCCCCAAGAATCTCGGAGTGAAGAAATTCGGTGGAGAGGTGAGAGATCATGAATAGATTTTGTTATTGAATTTTTCTTTCTCTTTTTTTTTTTTCCTTAAAATTTCTTGATTTTCTGCAGAGAGTGATACCTGGAAACATAATTGTACGACAAAGGGGCACACGTTTTCATCCAGGGAATTACGTTGGAATCGGGAAAGATCACACACTTTATGCTTTAAAAGAAGGGTGCGTCAAATTCGAGAAGCACAAAATTACTGGTCGAAAGTGGATTCATGTGGAGCCGAAAGAAGGTCATGAAATTCATCCCGTTTACGCGAGTGCTGCTGGAGTTGCTCCTAAGATGAAGACTTCAACTTAAAACTTTTGTTTCGTCATATGATGGTTTGTGTTATCGCATACAGCCTTTGCATGTTTCTTTTCAAATAACGATATCTTACTCCAAACTGTTTCGAACTCCAGAATTTCGCTCAACAATTCATCCCATATGTTGTTTCCTTTTTCTATTGTGGCTTTGAGCTTATTTTAAACATCGGAGAAGTTCTTACTTTTGATAAGCTATCTTGATCTTACGTCTTATTTTTTAAATTAATTTAAAAATGTTTAGATAATAAGCTTATAAGTTATATTGCCTGATTATAAGCTCTTCAACAACTTATATTTAGAAATTTTAAGATTTTTTCTAGAAAAAAAACTAGTAAGCACAAGTTATTTTTAACGCTTATAAGCTTCGCCAAACACCCTCCTATTCATTTATACAAAGATATATAAGCTTCTCAGATAGTAAAATTTCAACTATATATACAATAAAAGTGTATATAACTACTTAAAAGCTCTTACAACTGTTCTACTAATGATCTGTATCAAGTACCAAGTTATCTGGTATTCCGTATACAGGCATTGTTTCTGACAGATCGTCATTTTGGGAATATGAAGATTCTTCTTTATACGGAACACCAGATTCGAATCTCGTCCGTTTCTCCACCGCCTCTTTGACTCTCATCTCGAATTCTTCATCTGTGCTTCCCAACATATACCTAAGCTTAAAATTTATCCGATTTTCCACCATTATCTTATGCCTTGGTATTATTCTCCCTTCAAGCGAATAACTGAAAAACCTATTCGATTATCACAAGTCAGTATCCAATAATCTCAACCTTTCACAAATTGAAAAATGTGAGAAAAACAGAAGCTCAATTGAAGGTGGGCCCACATGAATTTAAATTAAATTCGAAGTCTACAAATTTTGCATACCTCGGAAACTCAATGAGCTCCTTCAAAGGCCGTATCATAATTCTTCGCAAGTAACGGTATTTAGGACGGAGAACATCTACATTATACCTCAAAAGCATGGGGAAATCGGTAATCATTTCACCCAATACAGTGAGCCTTATTCCAAGCGACAAAAAATATTTTACGTTTTGGTCTAATTTATTTGTTATGCTGCATCCTAAGAGCTCTGGCCCTAAGGCAACCACTTTTCCGATATCCCTTTGAGAAATTCCGGCTTTCGTCAATAGGAATATGACCTAATCAGAAATTAAAAAAATAAAAATACAAAATTAGTTAGGCCAACATAAGTAAAAGTGTTCGAGATTTAAAAAGAGGCTAATTACGAAACGTACCACCGGGCGTATCTTCTTGTATAGACTGTACGTAAACAACGAAGGAAACCTAGCAAGCATATTGCCAATGGCATCTTCATGAACACCTATATCTCGTAGAAACTCAACCTTAATTCACAAAAAAACAAAAAAACAAAAATTATAGATTAGGGCCTTTTAGTTCTTAAACTATGTGAGTTAAGCTTATGCTAAAACGGTGTGTGTGTCTATATATATATATATATATATATATATATATATATATATATATATATATATATATATATATATATATATATACCTTTGGCACAATGGTCTTCTCTAGGTCAATACAAAAAACCATCGGTTTCATAGTGAGGATTCTTCTCATACCATCTTTCGAAATTCCGAGGTAATAAAAATACTTAACAAGAGGCTTCCATCTTTCTTCGATACTACAAGCCATTAATTGTGGTTTAAATGCTAATAATCTTCCCACTTCTTCGTTATCGAGCCCAAACTCCTTCAAATATGCTACCTGCATTAAAAAAAAAGAAATAAAAACCGAGTTCGTAATTAAAATAAAGGGAGTTTATATTTAAATGTATTTTATGTACCTTTTGATTCATCTCTTCGATAGAGAAGTAACCGATCACTTTAGGACAGTCGAAAAGCATTGTCCCGAAATCGTTTTTCTCCATACCCATAGACAAGTAGAAATCGGTTCGACGCCTCAGCTCTTCCATACTAAACGACAATATCTCGGGACACCGACTAACTACATATCCCATCCAATCTTTTCTTACGCCATTTTCTTCCAAATACTCGACAATTTCGTTGAATTCTTCTATGCTTCGTTCCAATACGTTCCCACCGGCACGTGTTAATGTCACTCCTATATACCTCCCTTTTATGTGGATCGTTTTCAACCATTGCGCCAGCTGTCGTATCGAATCGAGATTCCCTTTCGACGCGCATATTAGCTTCCCGATTTGTGGATATGAAAGTGAATTGTGTTTCAACCACCTATAGTAATCCGAATATTTTAGTTTTAATTCAAATTCAAATAAACGACATTCGTTCGAATCATAGCACAAAACTTCGTACAATCAAGAATCGAAACTTGAACTGAAATTCAAATTAGATTATAATGTAGATTTTACCTTATAAGTGGGACAACTTTACATTCATCGATGAAGAAGTTTGCGCGAACATTATACGAAGACTGCGAAAAATCGGGGAGTTTCTTCATCGAGACGGCCTTAATCATCAAATAATCAATAAAATCGGGTATTTCGGAAATCAAATTCTCGCAATAAGTGATCCCAAATTTGTCCTTTTTCATAGCCTCTTTGAAAATTGAGGCAGTCACTTTCCTTCTTATCTCAAGTGCTCTCACCAGCATTTCGTCGTCCACGTCATCGTCGGAATAGTCAAGATTACCATTTTGCCCTTTGAAGACACTCTGAACAAGTGGGAGAGAAGAGTTGATGTAAATTGAACCTGGAAATTGTGGGGTTCTTTTAGTGAGTAACGAGATTTCGAGTAATTTTTCTTTATCTTGTTTGAGTAATGGAAGGAATGGTTCTTGATTTTGTCCATCTGGGTTTTGCTGGTTTTGAGTTGAGAGGTGGCGGAGGAGGGCGGCGGTGGATTTGGCGTTGTGGGTTCGGAGAATGTCACTTTCACCGGTTGATGCGACGGCGTCGTTTTGGTGGTCTGGGGAGGTGTGTTGGTGGTGGCGGAGGGAGGAGGAGATGGCGGAGAATAAGGGGCGGCGTTTGGAATTAGTTGCAGGAGGGTGGAGAGTGGCTGCCGGCGGAGGACGACGGCGGTGGTCTTGGAGGTGAAGAGTGGCGGAGAGGTGGTGGTGTTGAGGTTGGGATGCCAGCATCTTTCAAAGTGGATAGAGGCATTCATTCGGACTGAGATGGGTTTATTGCATAACTACATAGGGTCAATTGGCAAATTGGAAAATATAAGGGCTTAAAATGAAAATTTCGGCTACTACACACCCCCCTGAGGTATGGTCAAATTACAAAAACCCCCCTCTTGTTTGGATAATTACAAATACCCCCCTCAACTATGATTTTTTCTTACACCTACACCCTTATGGTGCCAAATTCAACATAATCATCTAGATTCCGTGGAATGTGCTCTAGTTTGTACTCGTTTTGTGTAAAAATATAGTTTCTGATGCACCACAAACTGATATATACAAGCTAAAAATCACATATTATGATCATCATGCTTCATAATGTAGAGTTTGAATGGGATAAAACGGGTACAAAAGTGATAATATTCCATATAATCTCGAAGATTCCACTAAATTTGAGGAGTTGAGGGGTGGTTGTAATTATTCAAACAAGAGGGGTGTTTTTGTAATTTGACCATACCTCAGGGGGGTGTTTGTAATTTACCCATAATAAAAATAATAAAAGAAATAAGGATTAATTCCTTTTATTAATCGGTATATATAAATATATAGGTTTCTATGAACGCGAATGGTCCCATGGTCTAGTGGTCAGGACATTGGACTCTGAATCCAGTAACCCGAGTTCAAGTCTCGGTGGGACCTTTTTTTCGACCTTTTGGAAGTAATGTATGTTGCTGACTTGTTTTTTATATATTATTATTTTATTTTTTTCACATTTTTAAAGTAATTTCTCTATTGTAGTTGGTGAAATATTCGACTCAATTTCTTCATTAAAAAACACTGATATTCGACGCAGTTTCTTTTATAGCATTTCAGTGAAGAAATTAAAAAATTAAAACCAGCATGATCATCTCCATTAATTGGAAGGGGAAATAAATGAATTTACATAATAAAAAAGAGAATGTATAATTTTGCTGTTTTCTCCTTACAACCATTATGAAAGATTTACACTTCACCAAAAGGCCAACACAAAAAGTAAAATAAATTACAGAAAAGAGAAAAAAGATTTACGGATTAAACTCCTCGAATTTTCAGATCCACTTTCATCGAACGATTAATAATCACCCCAAGAAAAAAAAAAAGAAAAAGGGAAGCTCGCTTACACGAATGTACATCCTTACCTTGTTACTCGTAAAGAATCGAAAACAATGGCCTTCCTCTCTCTAAAAACTTCTCAATTACTGTCTCTCTCCATATCCAAAGGCTCATGAAATATCTCTATCGAATGATCATTATTCCAAATCCCCATTTTGCCCACTCCCTTGAGACCACGACCCTTCCAAACCATCGCCACTCATCTCTTCCATTTCCGGAGATGCGTCCGCCACAGGCCCACCAGCCGCCACCACATCAGACGAGCTCTACCGCCTGCTGTCGAACGGAACAGCATTCGACAAACCTCCAGAGCTAGTAGTATTTTCGTCTCTCACAACTTTAAGAGGATTTTCCAGTGCTTTAAGAATATACCTCATTAAGGGGCGTCTGTTGGGATTTGGATTGAGGCATGACCTGGCGACAATAGCCATGGCCCACACTTCTTCTAGAAGGTCCTCGTCTATAATGAGCGAGGGGTCCACTATATTGGTGACGAGTTCTTTGTCGTTGATACTTATGTACGGTAGTGTTATCTCTAAAAACTCCTTCACTGTGGATTCGTTTGATGAACTGATGCCAAGCTTACCTGTTACTAGCTCGAGAAGAACTTTTCCGAAGCAGTATACATCGTATGCGCATGTTGCGTTAGGAGTACCTTTACATTATAGTGAACTGAATGTATTAACTACTGCTGTTTAGACTTTCTTGAAACTGTAGTCATGGCATTATTCCATCACATATCGTCTAAATATGTAAACGAGAAATTTACATGACAAGAGCGTTGACTAATAAATGACAAGCTCGATTTTTTTGGATGAACAAAAATAACCAAGAACAAGAAAAGAAAAAACAACAAATTAAATAAAGATTCTGGAGTAGGGGTCTCTCAGGATTTTTATGTTATGTAAAACAAGAAATTAAGTTAATGAATAATTAACATACTAAGGCCTCGCTTGGTTGCCAAGATAAAATTAAATAATCTAATGAAACGCAATTATATTATTGGACCTTGGAAGATCCAATAAAAATGCATGCCTAAAATGCAAGATAAGTCATGACAAAATAAAATTTGCGGGTCGACCTGGCAACTTATTTGTATACCAAACATCAAACAAAGTCCAATTATTTAGTTAATAATGACTAATCTCCGCAACCAAACGAGGCCAAAAAAGAATAAAATGGTAGAAATAGACGACACACCTGGAGTATCTCGTTCCAATGCCCTGTTTACAAGGGACAAAAAAAGGTCACAACCATGCTGAAGTACTACAGCAAAGATAATTTTGCACAAATCATGAAAATAAAAGGCTAATTTAATGTTGCTAATCCTAATTTTAGCAGATATACTGGTAAGACCTAAGAACGTAAAACGTATATCGAAAGGGGGATCCGTTTGAGTTGTCAATATCAACATCATTCTATAGTTTGTGACCCAACTGGTCCATATTTCAAAATTGGAATGGAAATAAACACAAGGTTAAATAAATACTCACTGTTGGAACCGCAGAAAACTTATCATCCGACTTGGACGAGTGTCACCTTCTCGAGCACAAACCTCACTCAAACTTCCTAAGCGTACTTCGTATCCAACGTCAAGAAGTATGCTGCTGGCTTGAATATCCCTTCAAAATCAAAATGTAGGTATTGAGCAAAAAAAGACGAATGAAAATGCACGAGTACGTTCCATAGGAGTAGTACCTATGAACATGAGGTGGAATGCATTCATGGTGTAGGTAAGCCAGACCCTCTGCAGCTCCAATTGCAATTTTGAGTCTAGTTATCCAGTCGAGCGACCGTAAATTAGAATAATCGGAACGTCTTTTCTTGAACAAAGAACTCGAGAGATCCCCATTTCGCATGTGCTCATAAACAAGAAATTTCTCGGTGTTATTCTCCAAGCAATGCCCCAAGAGAGGTACAATCCTAGGATGCGAAACCACCTTGGTAAGGAAACTCGATTCCGACATGTACGATTTCCTCTTCATCGGTGAATACAAATCAACTTTCTTGATGACCACAGGGATTCCGCGTTCGAGTGTTCCGTAAAAAATGTCACCGGAGTGACCGAGCTTAATTAGATTCTCGTCGTTGAATTCATCCGTGGCTTCTAGAATCTGGTGATATGAAAACACATCTTTGAATTTTGTTTCTGGAAAATACAAACACACACACACACACACAAAATGATCATGAAGATATTAATTACATAGAAACACACGGAATTGGATCTCGATCATGTTGGGATGATTAATTAATTAATTAATTAATTAAATTAAATAAATAAAGGAAGGAGAGAGAGGTTAGTGAAATAATACCATTGATATCTAGGAAATTAGGAAAATCGGGAATGAAAAGTGAAGTGGAATTAATTGAACTGGAGCTACTGAGGCTTTCACACATGGCAATTTGCCGGAGCTCCTCTCTCTTCAGAACGGCTCCGACCAGCCTCTCCCAATTGTCATACATCCTCGACATAACTTCTCTCTCTCTCTCTCTACTCTCTCTCTCTAACAGAACACAAGATAAGAAGAAGAAGAAATGATTCTGAGACTAGTTTAAACATTTGATTTTAGTCAACTAAATTATAATATTATTTTGTCCAGTGATTTGAGAACAAATAAAAAAAAATGGTGGCGTAGAAAGTGGAAACGAAATTTCCCAATTTTCATTGACTTTTGACTCTAAATTTCGAATGTAGGAACATTTTTTCGATTAGCTTTCCGGAAATCCGAGTTGCTCCCGTAACCGCCGCACTTGTGATCTGTTTCTGTATGATCGGCATTTATTTGTTTAGCGGATGTTTTTTTCAGGTCTTGGTTTTGAGAGGTGGCTGGCGGTGGACTTGGCGTTGATGTCACTTTCTCTGGCTTATGCGGCGTCGTTTTATTGGTCTCGGAAGTTACGGTGGTGGTGGTGGTGGAGGGAGGATGAGATGGGACAGAATAAGGAGCGGCACTAGTAGTTGCAGCCGCACCGCTGCTGGCGGAGAACGATCAAATATCCAAAATCAGGAATCGTATCGTAATATTAATATTTGTTAGGAAATAAGAAGCGCCAATGGTCCCATGGTCTAGTGGTCAGGACATTGGACTCTGAATCCAGTAACCCGAGTTCAAGTCTCGGTGGGACCTTTTTTCTTTTTTTTGACCAAAATATCCATCCTATCCATCCCAGCTTGTTTTTTATTTATTTATGTTTATTCTTTCAAATTTTTAAACTAATTTCTCAATTGTAGTTGGTAAAATATTCGACTCAATTTCGTGGATAACCAGTTTTCTGTGTTTTTATAGCATTTCAGTGAAGAAATTAAATAAAAAAACACCAGCATGATCTGAATTGGAAGGGGGAAATAAATGAATTTATATAGTGAAAAAAATGAAAATGTAGTTTTACTGTTTTCTCCTTCCAATTCCAACCCTGGATTTTTCACAACCATTATGAAAGATTTACACTTCACCAAAAGGCCAACACCAAAATATTTAAAAAAAAAAAAAAAAAATTACAGAAAAAAAAAAAAAAAGAATTGCGGCTTGTTTTCCCCCCCCAAACAAGTCTTCAAAACAGAGCAGCACAAACAATCACCACCACTTTCCAACCCCACTGCAGTTTCTACAAACGAATTTTCAGGTCCACTTTCATCGAACGAGAAGAATCGCCATAAATAATCACCCCAAGAAAAAAAAGAAGAAGAATAAAGGCTCGCTTACCCGAATGTAGAAAGAGAATGTACATCCTTACCTTGTTATTTGCAAAGAATCAAGAACAATGCCTTTCTCTCTCTAAAAACCCTCATTTACCCTCTCTCTCTACATCCAAAGGCTCCGGAAATATCTCTTTCGAATGCCGCCTCGACGAATGACCATTATGCCCATCTCCATTCTGCCCACTCCCTTGAGACCCCGACCCTTTCAAACCACCACCACCACCACTCGTCCCTTCAACTTTCCGAGACGGGCCAGCCGCCGTCACGTCAGACGAGCTCTGCCGCCAGCTGCCAAACAGAGCAGCATTCCACGAACCACGAGAAGAGGTGGTCCTAAGCCTAGCGGAGCTAGTGTGCTCCTCTCTCACAACTTTAAGAGGATTTTCCAGTGCTTTAAGAATATACCTCATTAAGGGGCGTCTGTTGGGCTTTGGATTGAGGCATGACCTGGCGACAATAGCCATGGCCCACACTTCTTCTAGAAGGTCCTCGTCTATGATGAGTGAGGGGTCCACTATGTTTGTGACGAGTTCTTTGTCGTAGATACTTATGTACGGTAGTGTTGTCTCTAAAAACTCCTTCATGGTGGCTTCGGTTGATGAACTAATGCCAAGCTTACCTGTTATTAGCTCGAGAAGAACTTTTCCGAAGCAGTAAACATCGTATGCACATATTGCATTAGGAGTACCTAGACATTATGGTGAATATATTAGACTTTCTTGAAACTTTAGTCATAGCAAGCATACATTATTATCTCACATATCGTCTAATGATAGTCTAGGGGTGGAAATTGGAACGGGTTTCAGATTTTGGAACTAGTTTTTTCATTCCAAATTCTGGATTTTCTGATTTGTGTTGGAACGGAAGTGGAATTAGTTTTTAACAACTCTATCAGCATTATACAATTAATTAAATGATGAGCTTCAAGTAACGATTCTGGACTAGGAGTCTCACGGGGTTTATGTTAACAATCATCGAAAATAAGGAATTAAGCCAATAACACACAAAAAGATTAAAAAATGATGGAAATAGACATACCTGAAGCACCTTGATCCGATGTCCTGCATACATGGAAAAAAAATAGGGTTATAACCATGGTAAATATGAAATCCTAAATTTAATTGATATATTGAAATCGTAAGATATCGAGTAGAAGGATTACAAAGAGAAATAAATACTCACTGTGGGAAGCGCAGGAACTTTGGCATCCGACTTTGATGAGGTTCACCTTCTTGAGCACAAACCTCACTCAAACTTCCTAGCCGTACTTCATATTTATCGTCAAGAAGTATGCTGCTAGCTTGAATATCCCTTCAAAAATCAAAGATAAAAATGGTTGAGAAGTTAGAATTTATCAAATGAAATCGAAATAAATCAAAGCGGTAATGATTGCAGAATTTAATTCACTCTCTTACTGTTTCTGGCATTAAGATAATCTAAATCCAAGCGGTGAAATGAATCAGTTCGAAAACCAAGGGTAACATAAACGAGGGTAGCTCACATTAATTAGCCAATTCAAAACGACATGGAGCACAAAACTGATTTACAAACCAAACATGTATTGTCTATACTATGTGTTTCGGGTAAACAGTAAAAAAGAAGAAAAAATAAATGCAATGCTTTGTAATTCCTCTAGTGCTCAATAACCAATAGCCAGAATCATTAATGTATAATTGCATATCCAACACAAAATCCATCGCGCAATCAGCTCAAAAATTTCAAAAGGTACGCATTGAAGAATATATGGAATTAAACGGAAAAAAAATTTCAAAAAAAAAAAAACACGAGTTCAATAGTACCTGTGAACCTGAGGTGGAACACATTCATGGTGCAGGTAAGCCAGACCCTCTGCAGCTCCAATAGCAATCTTGAGCCTAGTTATCCAATCCAACGACTGCAAACTCTCACCAGAATGTGTTTTCTTGAACAAAGACCTCGAGAGATCCCCATTGGGCAAGTGCTTATAAACAAGAAACTTCTCATTCTCATTCTCCAAGCAATGCCCCAACAGAGGAACCAATCTAGGATGTGACAGCCTCGTAAAAAGCTCTAATTCCAACATGTAAGATTCCCTCTTCACCGACGAATGCAAATCAACTTTCTTGATTACCACAGGAATTCCCCCTTCGATTACCCCACGAAAAATCTCGCCAGAATGGCCGCGCTTGATTAGATTTTCGTCGTTGAATTCGGCTGTGGCGTCTAGGATCTGCTGATACGTAAAAGCATCTCCGAGATTCGAAAAGTTCAGCGGTGCTCCTCCGGGGGGCGAGGCCCCCCCGCCAGCTGGCACGGGTCCCACGCTGATACCTCTTTGGTTCGTCGAGGTACCCCTCTTACGCTTGCACACAATCACCACTACAATGGCGAATATGACGAGCGAAATCAGGGCAATACTTCCGAAAACAGAAGCCAAAATGATGATTAAGTTCCGCCACTTCTTGCTCGACTTTATAGTAGGCGGTGTGGAGGAATTCGGCTCTCCGAAATTATCGAATAGCAAGTTCCTCTCTTTGTAAAACGACGCACATTCTGATGCGGTCCTCTGGTTAGTCACATTTCGGAGGCAATTGCCGACGAGAGAGGTGGTGATGCCGCCACCACGTGCGTAAATCGGAACGGGGCCCTCGAAATAATTTCCCGACATGTCGACCAAACCAAACCCCGTAATTACAGGTGTAATATTTCCATAAAACAAATTCTGAGAAATATTAAGCACTGTAGCACCACCAGCATTAAATCTTAAAGTGACATTTGGCAGCACACCGGTGAAGTTATTCACCGACACATCGAGGAATAGCAATGAAGGAAACGACCACAGCACACCCGGAAAATCGCCCACGAAACCATTATGACTCAAAACCACAAGCTGCAACTGAGTCAAAGGAGAAAATAAATTACCAGGCAATTTTCCTGAAAGGAAATTATCTCCAATTATCATCCGTCGTAAATTTGTCAACCCACTCAAATTCTGAGGCACAGACCCTGAGAGAGAATTAAATCCAAGATCAAGGTCAATCAGATTGGAAAGTCCACCGATTTGGGCCGGTATAGAAGAGGACAAACTGTTTCCGGAAAGATTCAAGAACTGTAAAACGGATAATGTTCCGATTTCTGGAGGAATCGCTCCAGACAAGAAATTCAAAGACATATCCAACACATTGAGATTACCAAGAGAGCCAAAAGTAGTAGGAATGGGGCCTGTTAGTAAATTATGCGAAAGATCAAGCACAGAGAGACCGGTTAACTGAGATAAACTCGAGGGGAGTGCACCGGTGAGATTGTTATTCGACAAATACAGCTCGACTAAGCTACTCAAATTGCCCAGGGTGAACGGAATAACACCATTGATGGAACAAGAACTAAGATCAAGAACTTGGAGAGAGACGAGCTGCAATCCCAGCCATTGAGGAATTGATCCAGGGAGTGCGAAATTCGAGGCGTTGAACGAAGATAAAAGGGTCAAATTCTGGAGAGGTTCCACTGAGAATTGAGGGTTTTGACCCCCCCTCCTTGTTCTTCTGAACCCGGAAATGTTGATTTCTGTGACCCGGCCGTTTGTGCATCGGATACCCGCCCATGAAGTACACGGGTCGGTTTTTACAGGCCATTCTTTAGCCCTCAACCCTAATGAAGATCTTAACTGAAGCAAAACCAATCTCTCTTGCCTAGAGACCAACAATTGCTGCTGTATTGTGCAGCCAAACAGCAAGAACAACACACATAAACAAACACAAACTACCCTGCTCCACCGATCCACCATTTCTGCTGCAGCTTCATCGAACTTCTTCACCCAAAATCCCCCTCACATTCACGTATATATTCATACACACACACAGGCGTTTGTGATTCTAATAATTTATATATAGATATATATAATTGTTGTGCGCATTCGCCGTATAATTGCCTGGATACAGAAGACGAAGAAGAAAAAAAAAAAAATCTGTAAAGAAGGAAATACACACACTTTCTCGGGGGGAGCTTTTACCTTTATGAAATGATGTGTAAAAAGTGGACCAGAAGAAGTTCCGATTTGATTCCTTCTCCAAACCTCTATTCCTTTTTGTTTTCTCGATTATAAAAATAAAATCTCTCTCTCTCTCTCTCTCTCTCTCTCTCTGAGTTTTGCTTCGGTCGACGGAGGAGAGAGGGAGAAAAAAGGGGGATTTAAAAAAACAAAAGTCAAAAACTTTTTGGGTTTTAGGTGGAGAGAGAAACAAAAAATGGGGGTTGAAATTTACTGAATGCAGAATAGTCAGTAATAGTTTTTGGATATACAAATATGGTAGTCGAAGAGAGAGAGAAACTGAAGACCAGTCTCCCTCTTTCTCTCTCTAAATTCAACACTCGCGCCGGAGGAAAATAAGACGCCGGAGGAATCGGCTGTATAAAGTTTACAAGTAAACCGCCGGCGACTGGTTAGAATGAGTATCCGATCCACTCCGGCGAGAGTTAGGGTTCAATCGCCGGTGAACCTGCCCAAATAGGCAAATATACAACACAGCTAGCTTAATAACTTCTTCCGCTGTAACACGTTGTACTTTGTGTTATACATAGTTGTACATTTGATACTAGTAGTATATTGGTAATTGGAATAAGATTTGTATTTATTGCTTACTTATTTTAGTTACGTGTTAGGTTGATGATGGTGAAGAGGATAGGAGTATTTATCTGAATTGTGTTTTTTATATTTATTTCAATTTGAGTCAATTTTAGACGGACATTCAATGAAACACCTAAATATATGTAACATATTATCTTTCTTTTTTTTCGGAAAAGGGGACCCGCGACTATTTACGTGCATTGGGTTTATTTCGTTGTCGTGCAATAATCCGTAAATTATACGAAATATTTACTTAGAATTTTTGAATTTATTAAAAGTTACATAATTTGGATATATGTATGGTACAAGTTAAACATTTTGTAGATGTTACATCCGGTGAAATTACCTGATGCGATGTATTTGGGCTAGAGGTTTGGTATAAGTATGAAGCCCAACGATTAACTAAAGCCGAAATTAATATTTTAGGCCTATGATTAAATTAATGTAGCATATATATTAAATATTTTTATAATCGAATCAAACATAAAATGTGACAATTAATTAGGTCATGGTTTGTTAAAAAAAAAAAACAGAGAATTAGGCCACGGTTGGACTGAGATTTTTTCCAAAATGTTTAATTATTTATAGATAATTATCACAATAAAATATAAATACAAGAGATAAAAAAAATCCCAATCTTATTTTTTTCCCGGAAATACTGTTCAAACCACCAACTCGGTGTTTTACACCAAGTGTAGCATCTCATATATACATGTAAAAACCAATAAAAATGATGGAATTCAGTACAAACGTAAATGAATACATAAACTCCTTAAATTAAGGGGAGTGATTTAAGGGATTTAGTGTATTTCCTTAATATTTTTTAAAGATAGAGAGAATTATAATTTAGAATAATAAAGATGAGGCAAGTAGTATGCTACTTCTCATTTATAGTTGGTAGCTGGCAATCTAATTAATTGAATAAAATAAAACGAGTTATTGATGCATTTCCAAATACTTACTAGTTCAGAAATAAATAAAAAATATTACTAATAAAGAACCAATAATTTATTATATTTTATTTTTTTGAAGATTACTTGAAAACCTAAAAAAATTGTTTTTTTTTTTAGTCTCAAATTAATTTTATGACTAATTAAAAAGAAGAAAAATAGTATTGCTCTAGTGGATGTGGTCAAACACTATTTATGAGTCAACTCCATTATTTTCTGTTGTGGCTGGGATTAATGAACAATCACCACTTATCTACTTTCATAAATAAAGAGACTGTAAATAATTGGTCGAATTTATGCTGTACTCATTTCTTTAAAAAATTGCATTTTCGCCCTGCCAAAATAATTTGTTTGCAGCCTGCAACCTTTTAATTATTATCTTCTTTCATTTTATTTAAACTTTAATTTATTTAAGAATTGTGTGAGTCTTCAAATAGCCATAAGAATACAATAGATAAAACAAACATTATACTGGAAGTTTCCAATCCATTTAAATAACTGGGATTCTCCGATTATTATTTTAAAATGACTATATATTTTATTTTATTACAACAACTAATTAGATTAACAGTTCACATCTTCAAAAAATATATATTCCTAAATGCATCCACTGTAGTACTGTACGTCTAGTCTCTATCCAACAAGTGCAAAAATAAAATAAAATAAAATAAAAAAATAAAAAAAAAATAACAATAATAATAAGTTGCTTAGTTGTACCACTTGCTTCCACAAAATATATACAAACATTTATATGTAATATATATGTGTCATGTGTGTGTGTAAGAGTGTGTATGTGTGTGTGAAAATGGAGATCCATATATATAATTAGGTTTATCAATTCAAAGATTCCTTCACTTCCACTAGTATCACTGCATGTTCTCTTCAAATGCATTTCAATTATTTTTCTTATAAATTTTTACTTATGTATTAAAAGTTTAGAACCATAATTTATTTCGAAAATAAAAGATTTTTTTTATCAATGAGTTTAGAATTATTCACAAAAAATGTTTATTTTCTTAATAGGTTGTGAGTTCGAATGCGATTGGAAACTTTTTTTTTTTTTTTTTTTTGCACTGGGTAAACTTACACTCTCGTATAATAGCTTGCAAACCATACGAGAGATGTAAACCACACTAGGCTAACCATGTGTGACAAGCTCGACCTAGCGACCGTTGGCAAGGGGATTCGAACTTGGGTCAATTGACCCAAGCTCTCTTGCTCCAACCGCTAGGCCACCCTTGCGGGTAATGCGATTGGAAACTTTAACTACTACTACTACTACTATTATTATTATTATTATTATTATTATTATTATTATTATTATTATTATTATTATTATTATTATTATTATTATTATTATTATTATTATTATTATTATAATAAATAGATAATTAAATAATTATATTTGTTTTAGAAGATTAGACAGTTGAGTTAATGATAAAAGAAATGTTTAATTTTTAATTAAAAAAAGTGCAGGACTAAGGAAATATGACTGGGATACAAGTCTGGGATCATGAACCGCACTCTGTCCAGTTCATGATTAGCCTTTCATTTGCTTCTTTATACTGATTAATTAATTAATTAATTAATCAAGTGACTAATTAATCAATAGTGATATCACTTAATTAATGATTAGAAAAGTTGATTACACACGTGATCACGGTGGCAGATGACTGCCATTTAAATCTCCATCTTTTTTATCTTGTATTTTTATCTATGTGAAAATAGTTGTTATTTTTTGCGAATCCAAATACGATTTTTTTTTTTTTTTGAAAAAATAAAAGTATTTAGTATACAAAATTACAAAATTGCATCCTAATTTTGACGATTTCAGCATAAATAACGTTTTATCAAAAGGTCAATTAATAACATAGTTTGTCATTTTCAAATTAGGGAATGTTAATAGCTACTAGCCTACTGTTACCCCCTTAATCGGTGATATCGGTAATGGCTCGAGTGTGGCGAGCCATGACCGATAAATGGTGCCAAGTGGGGATTGGCACAAGGCAGCCACACAACCGGCCAATGAGTGGTCGAGTGATCGGCAAGCATTTGGGGTGCCTGGCCGAGAAAAGCAAGGATCGGCTTGATTCAAGTGGGAACGGTGATCGATATTACTTGTGGCTGGCACGGGCGTTGCTCGGCAGCAAAGACGGACAAAGCGTGGGCAATAATCGGCATGTGGCCGATAACGTGGGCAAACGAACGTTCGAGGGAAATCGACCATGACTTGACAAGTGTGGGCAAAATTGGCAAGGCAAGCAAGGCAGCCCGATGAGCGGGCGTGCCGATGACCGTGTGGGCAAAGACTGGCAAGTAATCGGTAAAGGAAGGCAAACGTGCGGAAAAGGCAAGGCAGATGGGCTGCCTAGCAACCGACCGGGCTGTTTGGGCCGTTTGGCGCGCGTTCGCGGGCTCGATCAAGTTGGGCTTCGGAAATCAGCCTTGTGGGCGGATTTGAGGAAGTTATGGAGCGGTTGAGGCCTGAAAATGCATGAAAACTGCCCCTTTATACTTGTAATAGTTGGCCAAGTGTCATGTTTGTATGCTGCCATGTGTCCTTAGGTAGTTTTGTGTGAAAACTACCTTTTCCTTGTATTTATTTGGCTATGAGTGCACAAATCCGAGGTATCTAGCATATGAGAGTTCAGATTGCAATTGTTGGGCAATTCTGAGTGAGGATTTTGTGTGTGCACCTTAGTCTCCTTTGTATTCGTTGTGGGAATTAATATAAAGGTTGGGCATTGCCCGTAAACGTGCTTGTGTGTTTGTTTTCCGCTGCATACTCTTGTGTTCGTTTACGTGGCTGAAAAGACTTGTGTTTGTGCGTGTTTGGGCGAAGAAAATCGTGAGGAAGGCTGACTGGTTTGGTGGGCAAATCAGGCCGTACAAGGGAAAATTTCGGTGATAAATTAACCCCTGTAACACCTACTACCATGACTATATACTAAGAATTATTATTTTTTTAATTCCAATTTACATATCTCCTAATTATAATTTCAATATTCTAACTTTGGGCCCACATGGGTATAACTCAACCGGTTTCGGGTGGTAAGTTGGTGCAAATTCCTAATATAAAGTACTAGCAGCTGCAATGTGAGATTTTCAACAGTAATAAGAGCTGGTTTCTTGAAGACACTAGACTCAGGTCGCTGCCATGCGGACTGGTACAATAATTTACACTTATTCGTCAAAATATATTGGACGGGTACGAAGGATTTCGTCTTTTGGTGCAATAATATAATTTTGGATCCATAAATTTCAACATCGACTTGTTATTACATCTCTACCTTGAACATGTCATTGTTGTGGTTTTATATATATGTTGAATTATTATTTTAAATCTTATATGTACTACTCCTTCCCCTTTATATTTTCTTAATCCAACTTATGTAACGTTTTAAATTTGTAATTATATGCGAATATGTCTTTTGATTCGATGGTCAAAATTGAATCACATACTAACAACTTTCCTTACATCATTATAGAGTTTGAGATTGACAAGGCAACCTCTACTCTATTGCCCTAAAACTGTTTGACCCTAAACATTGACTATTGGATTTGTTTGCTAATTAAATTGATTAAGAAAGAATGACAAAATTAAAACTTGTGTCAAAATTGTCTATGATACTACTACATTATGGATGGCAAAAATGTTTGACCTTTTCAAACTTTACAAAATTCCTAACAATTCATCAAATTCAACGACAGAAAAAATAATAATAATAATAATAATAAAAATTAATAAAAAATAAATAAAAATAAAACAACAATAAACAAGAAGAAGTTGTATAATTGAAAATATTATGCATAAAATATTATCACAAATTACAAGTTGGTAATGTTGAGCAATACTTTGATCAGTCAGCTACATAAGTTGACAAATTCGAAAAAAAATAAAAATTATTTGAATATTATATTTACAGCACTACACTAATTAAACAATCTAGCTGGTATTCTCTCAAAGTCATCTCATAAGATTTTAGTTATGCATTTATGGGATATTATGGGCTTTATTTATTTATTTATTTATTTATTTTTATTTATATGATTTTATCAAGTCATGGTGTGAATTGACCCATAAATAGTAGGCCCATTTTCATAATATTTTAATTTCCTTTGTGGGCTTTTTTGAGGCCCGAAACGTAAATTTTGGGATGTGAATCGACCCATAAATAGTAGGACCATTGTAACAATAT